TGATCGAACACCTCCTGACACTCTTTACTCCATGGCAGCGTGGCGATCAGCTTAGTAGCCTCTGGGCCCCTCCCCTTAGTTTTTAGCAGATCTGTGAGGGGTAAGCTGACCTGGGCAAAATTGGGTTAAAAGGTTCCGTAGAAGTTCGCAAAACCGAGGAAGGATTGGAGCTGTCGTCGGGTTCGGAGCACCTCCCAACCCAATACGTCACGAACTTTCCCCGGGTCCATCTCTAGGCCTCGGTCAGAGATCTGATATCCCAAGAAGTCAATGTGTGTTTTGTGAAATTCACATTTTGACAGTTTAGCAAACAGTTTGTGCTTGTGCAACGTGGTTAAGACCTCCCTCACCAATTTCACGTGTGAAGGTAGGTCAGGGGAGTACATCTAGGTAAACAAGCGCCCCCTTGAATAAGTGCTTGTGCAACACTTCATTGATCAGGTTCATGAAGACCCCCTGAGGCCCCTGAAGGCCAAAGAGCATCACCCGGTATTCGAACTGGCTGAGACGGGTGTTGAAAGCGTTCTTATGCTCGTCCCCTTCCCTGATGTGCACCCGAAAGTAGGCATCTCAAAGGTCCAGCTTGGAGAAGATTTTTCCTTTTGCCGCTTCAGCGAGCAAGTTTTTAATCAATGGCATGGGATAGGCATTAGTGGAAGACACTGCATTTGAACCCCAGTAATCCGTGCAGAGTCGCAGCCCCCCATCCTTTTTCTTTCGGAACAGTACCGGGGCCGTGTAGGGGGATGCGGCTGGTCGGATGAACCCACGGGCTAAGTTCTTGTCTATGAACTTGCGCAGTTCCTCCTTTTCGGCCGGTCCCATTGCATAAATGTGCCCCTTGGGTAGTTTCTGCCCCAGCAACAGTTCAATGCTACAGTCTGAATGGCTATGCAGGGGGAGGGGAGTTCATCCACCTCCTCCTCCTCGAACACCCTAGCCAAATCCTGATACTCGGGGGGGAATGGCGAGCAGTTCCTCCTGAGCTAGACACACTCTAGGGCCTTCTGCTATCGGCTGCTGGCCCCATTTTGGGTTCCAACTGTGGCCCCAGCACTTAGGTGAAATGAACTGTACCTTCCCTTCGTCCCACAAGATGTAGGGATCATGCCCGTGCAGCCACGGGGTCCTGAGGACTAGCGGGAACTTGGCGGATGAGGTGATCACGAATGCTCTGTCCTCCCAGTGATCCCCCACCCCGCAACGGTACAGTCTCGTACTCATACGGGTCTTTCATTGTAGAGCCATCCATTCGTGTAAAGATCAGGGGGTCTTTCAACTTCACCACCCCAGCCTCCAACCCCATAACCAGGGAGGGGTTGATCAGATTCCTCCCACACCCCGAGTCAATCAGGGCTCTCACCC